CCTGCAATTTAGCATTGCATTGCAATGGGTAAGCACACCGTTAAAATTTTGGGGACAAGTATGAGTTGCACTTGCAATTGCAGAGTTTTTCAGGTCACAAATCTGACCTCTCCAGTGCAACAGGACCAAGCAGTGCCTGGGAAGGGCTCTTAGGCAGGATCTCAGTGATGTGCTCCCTCCTGAGTACTGCTGTCATAACATCTGGTATATAGGCTGCCTTCCTGACTGGGGTTCAGGAAGGATGGATTGTAACAACGGGAGGATGTACCAAACTTTACCTGTCCTTCAGCTAGTTTTGTGAGTAAAGATATCAAAGAAGGAATGATTAGTGGCTGAGTCAAAGGAGAGAATCCCTAAACCAGATTTATGGCTGCATAAATGCCTTTTTGTAAAAAAAAATGCCTTTTTGCTTTGTTTCTCCCCATCATTCATTTTCAGTTCTGGAAAGGGTGAACACTGAAACAGGGTTGTGTTTGGGTCCTGGGAGGTCAGATTTCACTTACAGTTTTCTGACAATGGTTTACAGCCAGACATGCATACCCTGTGCCCATTTGCCAAACCTCATAGGTACAATCAGCTCTGAACCAAATGTTTTATGCTTGAAGTTTTGCATGTCATGCTCAGGCACATAATCTCTGCAGGGAAAGGTGTTGAGAGGCACCACTGTGCTACACTATTCAGTTTCAGATCGTTCAAAACATCAGCAGAATAACTTCTCCAATCTGCCTGCAGAACAGTTGAAGGCCAGGTCTATGTAGTCATACTTGACTGGTTTAGGTATGGGAGGTTGGTGGTGGGTACAAACACAAGCCCTCATTGGTTCTTTTCTCTTAGGGCTGACCCAAGGCTTGCTGGAGTTGATGGAAATATTTTCACCAGTGTGCATGAACTCTGGCTTAGGTCTTTCTATATCCGCAGAGGCACGACTCATTCTGGAAAGGTCAAAATCACACCCATCTACCCCATCTTTCTTAACAGCTTGCTGCATGGATCTGATGCATCAAAAGGCTGTACACAGAAACCTCTTAGCACTGATGACAGCAAAGTCTGTAAGTTTATCAAAGTTCCCACCAGTGATATGGAGATGAAGTAGATGATTTAAACAGGATTTACCAGCCTTGATTTTGCTTGTCCATTTGTATTCTGAAAGCTGTGAACTAAACTGTTAATAGCCAGAGGCCTGGTAAATCGGCAGGTCTGAAAGAAGCAGGTGTGGGTAAGCCTGCATGGGCAGACCGCAGATTTGACATCCAGGTTTTGATCAGATCTGAACAAGAATTTTAATGAATCAGCACATGTATTTACACTGTTGGACAGTTATACCAAACATGCTTGGGGCTGGTTAGTATAAAATAGGTACCTTCTAGAGAAAAATAAGGAAGGGGGCTGGAGGGTGGGAGGGGGGAGAACAAGAGAGGCACCAATCTTTCTTTTGAATCTCTGACAAATTAAAGCCCAAACTTCATTAAAGAATAAACCTCTGTTAAAATGTCTTCTTCAAGATAAGATACATGTAACCAATCGTTTGTATTAATTACATTGAAACTCACCTACCTAATCCTGATACAGCTCACACAGAAGATATTAACAATATGGTTTTACTATCAAAGCAAACTATGTTTTATACCGTAGCTAATAATGAGAAACAGTATTACTAGTACTATTATTAGCAGATGTTATTTCTGTGTCTGTACCTGTGAAATATTAATTCTTGAGCTTCTGGCAAAATGGTAGTTTGGTCAAAAACTGGGGTTAATTTGCTGAGCAGGTTCTTTAATCATCTTTTTGTAAAATCTTTTTTTATTTTTCTTTCTTTTTGACTTCAACATAAATAGTTCTTGTAGAATCTGCCCCTGAAAAGAGCACTGCATTGCTAACAACAGCAACACTGATGAGAAGATCAGATATTTTTATATTTATTTGTATAGTTTTGACTTTATTCCTCCACTTATATGCTGACAGCACAAAGCAAGACAGCAGTCTTATTTTTGTAAACATTTTACGAATGTAAAAAAAATCCCTCACACAATGATTTAGCAGCCTTGACTTATATCTTACTTATCAACCTTATGAATTTATAATGTGAAAGGTCTGCAGCAGCCCAGTCCACCTCCAGTTAAAATTGTCAATGAAATGCCTTTTAGCAAATGAGGCTCTGAATTTCTGGCAAGACATTGAGATGCTTCCTGTCCCTTTGGCTGCTCTGTGGAGCATCCAGGCATTTTGCAGGAATACTCTGTTGGACCTAAGGAGGAATAAAAAAAAGACAAGCCCAAGAAAGGTTAAAGCTGAACATTTCCCCTATATTCTGAGGTGGGAACTACCTCAAGAAGACCTGCTTCTGCATAGACCAAGGTCCAGCCTCCTCCTTAGACTCTGCCCCTGTTTCCATTCGTAAGGGATATTTCCTATACATTCACTTCCTTGGTGCGGAGCATGTCCATAATAAGGGAGATGAAAAGCTCCTGGGACGTGAAGGTTTAGAGCAGTTTTGCTGGTAATGGTCATGGATCCTGTGTGTTGAAATGTGTACCATGGACCTGACATACAAAAGGGCTGGGTTACTCTGTGCTCCTCAGTTTGTGGTGAAGTACAGAGGAGAAACCCAGGAGAAGTTAGATACAGCAAAGTTTAACTTATATAGAACAAAACAACGAGGATGACAGGAACAATTTTCCAAATATCCAGAATGGAGACACTGAAGTTTGCACATTCAGAGTTAACTGGCAGTGTGTGGCTAACACAGTTTGGAATAAATGGGAAATGTAAAATATACATGATCTGTTGGTTTCTCTGCACAGCAATTTCTTTGATGTTTGTTGTAGTGTCTATTTATAAAATTTGTGCTTGCAGGCGGGACAACATGTGATTCCTTTCCCCCCTACAGCATTTCAAGGATTTTGTTTCCTTATTAGATTTTCTTTAAACTTAGGAGAAATGCAAGAAGAAAACCTCCTGGACCAGTTGCAAAGATCCTTTGTGCATGTTTTTATGCTGCAGGTTGATCATACAGCTACAGTTTCTATTCTGAATAAAATGTTTAGACTGTATAACAAAGGAGACAAGAGACAATACTTTGAGTGTCACTGTCCCTGGACAGAACCCTATGCATTGGACTGCCCTATATCAGAATGTCAAGTGCCAATATAAAATGCGTTTGTTATATGTCTTTATTGCTGTAGGTCTCACCAGTGTCAGATGAGAAAAAAAATGATGAGTGGCAGAGGATGTAGTAGTTAATAGGGAAAAAAAAAAGAAAAAAGAATTAATTAAACTACCAATCAAGATTTACCATTACTTTGAAGGAGAAAGCACAACAGGAGAGTCAGGAAGAAAGAAGAGTCCGGAAGAACTGAACTCGGAAAATATCTTTCCAGAAATTAATAAAAAACCAAAAAAAAGGGTTTTGATTATATCAAGGTGTGCTTAGAAAATAGTAACAACAGCACAAGGGGAAAAACAGTTTTAAACAACAACATCATAGCAAGATACACACTTAAGAACACTTAGAGCTTGAACGTATAGCTCTTCTGGGAAATTACACACCGGAGTTACTGCCAATAATGCCCTCTTCTGGCGATGCTGTTGCAACTAAATTGGTGTGTCAATAATCTCAGGACCCTGCATTTTCAATGTGCAGGGTGAATTCACTGTAGTCAGGGGGAGAGTTTTATCTGAGTTAAATGTCACACCCCCTTTTTCTTCTCCCCTCAGTTCCAAAGACTAGCTGCAGGTAAATAATTTTAATAAAGTAAGAGATACCACAGTACAGTTTTCTTTTCTTTTTTTTTCCTTACCCCAAATAATGCTCTCTATGTCATCTGTATATTTATGATAGCTCAAAGACATGGGTGTGTGGATCTAATTAAAAATGTGAAAGGGTTTAGCAGCCTGCTGCTTCCCTGTGAGTCTCTTGTTGCCAACTCTTGGCAGCTCTGCTGTCACTGAGCCAAATGTTTAGTCTTCAGCTGAACTACTGCCAGTGAGCTGCACTGCATTCTGGGACCATAGAGCCTCGAGGTACTGTGTTAAACTATCTCACATAAGGATGTGCAGTGAGCTGGACTTCATATTCAATCACCCAAAAGAAAAGTGAAGGAGAAAGCCCACTTTTGCCTGGTGAGCCTCAACAGTGTCTAAGACACAATGACCAATTCCTTCAGGATTTTGCATCAGGGAAAGTAAACAGTTTCTTGAGGTGGATCAACCCATACATTTGTTTAATGTGCCTATGCAGCAATAGCACTAGGTATATTTAGCAAATTTAGTTTAAATCTGTCTGCTCTGGATATGGAATTAAAAAAAAAAGAGATATTAAAAACATGTCTTTCTGCAATGAGAGTCTGGCCTCCAAGCCAATGGCTTGTGCTAAATAAATATATTCTGACTCAACTCCAATACTCCTTAGCACATATAGGGCAGTTTGGTCCAGAGTAAAAAAAAAAAAAAAAAAAAAGTACAGATAAATTTGATACATGTGCATTCCAGCCAGCACTGGGAAAGCTACATTGATAGAAACATGCTTAGCACAGTTGCATTGCTTAATAAATCCAGGTATAATGTGGAGATAGATGGAGTTATAGGCTAAGCTGGCCTGTAGGCTTTGATCAGTGCTCCAACTCACTTAGGGCTTAGAGTGGACTGGAAGAATTGCCAGGTCTCATGAGTCAGTGATGGATTTCCAGCAGATCACAATTAAATTCTCCTTTTAGCTGTTCTCCCTGCACTCTTTTCTGTAAGGGAAATTGCTTCTACCGACAGCAACGCTGAGTGCGTCTTCCTGTTATTTTCTTTCTCTTTTTCTCCACTGTCCCATTTCTATGTTTCGTTTCCCTGCTCTTCTCACCTTCACACCATTTTATTTCCTTTCCATCCCATCTTTCATTTTTGCTCCTCTCCTAAAATTTTTTTGTCTTGTTTGCCTGGATTTCACATCAACCTTTTTTTCTTAACTTTTACTATCCTTCCTTTACGACACCTTCCCTTCACTGTCATAATGTTCTACCTGGGAGAATGAATGAGCCACCTCTAATGTTAGTCCAGGGACTCAACAAACTGATTCTGCTGCACTTGATTTCTGGAAATATTTTCTTTGTATGTTTCTGAAACCAGCACAGTGGTGAAATAATAACTAGATGCTTCTGATTGAACTGTTTCTCCAACTTTTGACACTGGATATTTAAGAATGAAACTACAGAAAACGATTGTTGGCTTCATATCAAATACTTGTCTGCATTCATTCATAATGCTAACTACATATTAGACACACACCACTAAAGGTGCAAAGAGAGAGAAAAAAAATAAACATTTACACTAATGATCACTCATTTTTTGTAAAATTGCATTTAAAGAAATAGAAGCAGGCACAAGTGTGCAACACACCTGAACTCCCCCACTTTGATCTTTCCCCTGGGGTCCTTTTAGTTGCAGTGGGCCAGCTCTGGTAAGGAGGCAGGACTCAGAAGCCGCTTGGCATCCAGCCCAGTCTTTGTGGGCCACTGGAGAGATGGATAGCTAGGTGCAGAAGTGCCCTGAGGCAGGTGTTAAAATGTTGTTCTTAGTTCCTTGGTGGTAATCATTGCAAAACAATCCTGTCTGCTCTATTCGTATCAACAAGCTGCTTTCCCTGGCTTGTTGCTAAGAGACAGGACTGTTGCTTACAAGTTGCTTAGTGCCTTAGACTTTCATAATTTATAATTTATTATCTTAGCATAAAAATTTGTGGTTTTTTTTTAATTTTGTTTTTCCACCAACACAATAATTGTCACGTAAAACAAAGGTCATGTATCTACCAGAGTAGCAGTTGCTCTTATATACTTCACTTTTGTATGGTTTAGGATTCTGTGAAAAGAAAATGCTATTATAAACTGAAGATGAATATCATTTTTGTCCATTAACTTCTTGCGTTATATGACTGGTTAGGTCAATGGATTCCCTCAAGATTTCTTCACTATTGAAAACATGTTTCTGTCCAACCAAGAAGGAAATGAATTGAAATGATTTCAGTTATCACATGAAAGACATCGGCTCTTTTTGCTCTACACTTCAGCACCTAATAGTTGAACTCATCAGTCCTACTTTCATGAAGTTCAGTGATAGAGATGTTTAACCAATGCCAGAAATTACTCTTGTGCATTAATCTAGCTTTGTGAATATACAAACCTTACCTTGCTAAAGTGTTTTGTACCTAACACTAGTTAAATCAGCTCAGTGAGGAGTAATGACAAAGTGGAAATGAGAATAATTTGCAGACTTGTTAAGTTGCAAAATAACTCTGTCACAGTTCACCAGTTTAAAGAAAAAAAAAAAAAAAAAAAAAAGAAAAAAAAAAAGAAGAACTCATTGTTATACACCCTCGTGGAAATTAAGGATACTGACCTCAGGTTAGGATTTACTTGACTGTTTAACAGAAGAGCTGTACATACAGCTGGTGTTGTGGTATTAAACTAAAGCATATTTAAGAGCTTTACCAATGCACAACCATCAGCTACATTGCCACTGTCAATGCTTTAAAAAAATGAAAGAAAAGTTACTTTTCCACCCTGATTTCAGTGAGCTGTTTAAGCCAGTTAGAACCAAGAACAGCATCATACACAGCTGTAGAAATGGTTATGGAAATGTCCTGATGCAAATAGTGCTTCCCCTGCAAGGCTTGTGAGGGAGTGTCTATCCAGCAAAATCAAGGTTTGTTTTCCACCATAGCTGATCTTTTCCATTCAGCAACACCAGGTTATGCTTGCAAGCGCAGGGCAATATAGCAAGGGTTAATGCATGTATCAGCACACCTTGTTGTCCTAGTTGGCTAATGTAAGCAAAAAAAAAAAAACATCTCCTATGGTAACACTTACATTTTGTGTTGGATATGTGTTCTTGAATGCTTCAGTAGCTTAATTCCCTATTGGCTATGTAATAAGCATGCGAGCCAAGTGTATTTTAGTCAGTCTAAATGTCTTCAGGAGTTGGACCTCTTACAATTTAAGGTAACTCATGGGGTGGCCATGCTGATCAATGCCTGAGATCCCTCTCAAAAGCTCATCCAACCTACAGTGAGAAATTTTCCATGACTTCCAGAAGTTATAAGAAATACAGTTTTTCTTAATCGTGTAATGAAAGTTACTACCTTCAGTTTTAAAAGACAATAAAACTGCAGCTTAAATAAATGGGATGCCAAGAACTTCTTGTATATTCTTGCAAATCCCTGAAACCCTGCTCACTGATTATGATGTAAGTATCTCCCCCTCACATAGTTAAGAAAAATGAAATCCAAAACAACAACAAAAACCTTAGTGAGTTGCTATTCTGTTATATGTGGAATTTCAGTGACATGGAGTTAATTTGAACAATCTGAGTGAAGAGGACAACATCCTCTTATTTTCTTGTTTGTTAATATCTTTAGTACATAATTTCCTATAAAACTGTGGCACTTTATAACCATGCTGGTGTAATGTCATGCTACATGCCTCCTTTATATAAGTTCATGTTAAGTAATTATTACTGCTGCAACCATTCACTCAAACATCAGAAGAGATGAACAGGGAGGAGGAATATAATTTATCCATTAACTTTCCAAGCAGGGCAATCCTGCTGACTCTGTACATGCGTCACAGCACTCTAGAGAAACAGCTGGAGGATACTGAGTCCAGTGAAAGGGTGGACTCACATACCTACAACCTAAGGAAAAACTGACGAAAAATCTCCCTTTGAAACCAATATATATCTAGAATCATAGAGTAGTTAGGGTTGGAAAGGACCTTAAGATCATCTAGTTCCAGCCCCCCTGCCATGGGCAGGGACACCTCACACTAAACCATCTCACCCAAGGCTCTGTCCAACCTGGCCTTGAACACTGCCAGGGATGGAGAATTCACAGCTTCCTTGGGCAACCCATTCCAGTGCCTCACCACCCTAACAGGAAAGACTTTCTTCCTTATATCCAATCTAAACTTCCCCTGTTTAAGTTTTAACCCATTACCCCTTGTCCTGTCACTAAAGTCTCTAATGAAGTGTCCCTCTCCAGCATCCTTGTAGCCTTCTTTCAGATACCAGAAGGCTGCTATGAGGTCTCCACAAAGCTTTCTCTTCTCCAGGCTGAACAGCCCCAACTTTCTCAGCCTGTCTTCATACGGGAGGTGCTCCAGTCCCCTGATCATCCTCGTGGCCCTCCTCTGGACTTGTTCCAACAGTTCCATGTCCTTTTTATGTTGAGGACACCAGAACTGCACACAATACTCCAGGTGAGGTCTCACAAGAGCAGAGGGGCAGGGTCACCTCCTTCAACCTGCTGGTCACACTCCTTTTGATGCAGCCTAGGATATGGTTGGTTTTCTGGGCTGTGAGCACACACTGCGGCTCATGTTCATTTTCTCATCAACCAATGCCCCCAAGTCTTTCTCCGCAGGGCTGCTCTGAATCTCTTCTTTGCCCAACCTGGAGCTGTGCCTGGGATTGCTCTGAGCCAGGTGTAGGACCTTGCACTTATCATGGTTAAACTTCATGAGGTTGGCATCAGCCCACCTCACAAGGGTGTCGAGGTCCCTCTGGATGGCATTGCTTCCCTCCAGCGTATCAACCGAACCACACAGCTTGGTGTCATTGGCAAACTTGCTGAGGGTGCACTCAATCCCACTGTCCATGTCAGCGACAAAGATGTTAAACAAGACCGATCCCAGCACTGATCCCTGAAGGACACCACTCATTACTGGTCTCCAGCTGGATATTGAGCCATTGACCACAATACTTTTCATGCAGCCATCCACCCAGTTCTTTATCCACCGAGTGGTCCATCCATCAAATTGATGTATCTCCAATTTAGAGAAAAGGATGTCGTGTGGGTCAGTGTTGTGCACAAGTCCAGGCAGATGTCATCAACTGCTCTACCCCTGTCCGTCAGTTCTGTAGCCCTGTCATGGAAGGCCACCAAATTGGTCAGGCAGGATTTCCCCCTAGTGAAGCCATGCTGGCTGTCACCAACCACCTTGTTGTTTTTCATGTGCCTTAGACATGCCTTCCAGGAGAATTTATCCTGGTTTATCTGGCAGGTGGTGGAGATGATAATTAAGCGGCAACAGCCACTCATAATTTCTTAGGTATCATGAATTGGAAAATGCATCACCAACAGTATGTCTAGAGGTGGTGACGACCTTCTGAAAGAGTCATTAAAAACTTTGAAGGAGGATTTCCTGGTTTTAAACTCTTGTGGCTATTGGGAAAAGAAACAGATTTATGGCTGACTGCTACTGTTTAGGCTCTTGAGTGAGCAGCAAGCACCAAAGGTTTGGAAATCATTGTAAAAGCACAGAAGAAATAAACTGAAAAGAGTGTAGTGAAGTCTCAAATCGACCATTTTAGTCCTTATGTTAAGTCTGGTGGGAGAAAGAATCAGAGACATAATCTTAGGACTAATTTTGCTGAAACCCATGTGTGAAAACATTCAAATGTTCTTGAGGGATTGTTATCAATTGTTCACTCAGGTATGTCAAGTTCATAATCTAATCTAGAGTTTCATCTCTGGAGCTCTGCCAGAAATCTGATAAATTATTCTGTCATACAAAATCAATGTGCATTCATCAGGTCAGATCTTGGGGTTCAAAAGGAAGGGCTGATGGATCATTATCTAGGTACAGTTCGTGCATTAATAGGTTCATTTGTATTTTATGAGGATTGTAATAACTGATCAAACAAGTCATGTGAACATTTTAGATTAAACAAAGCAGAAAGTGAAAATACCCTGAGTTTTCAACAGGTCAGTTTGAATATCCCTCAGTTACTGGCACTTTTTAAAAGCTTTGATTTCCCTCCCACCTCCCACCCCCAACATATCACTTGCCCTGTTTGGACTAAAATCTTATTATAAACTGGAGAGAGGAAACTGGTCTGAAGGACGGTAGCACAAACACGCTGCTGTTTCAGGATGACTTCCTGGCACCTTGCAGCTTTTGGGTGAACAAAAAAAATGTTTCTCTGTTGTTTTTAGATGCTCTGCTTTCAGAATCAACTAGTAGTATTTATCTAAAGTCAATAAAAACCTTGAAAATCAAAACAGTTTATAAAAGGAAGCATTTGGTTGAAGCTCTGCTTTAATGGATTAACAAAAGAAAAAATAAACCTGAAACCACAGTTTCTTAGTCACCTGATTAATTTTTCCTAGGGGTTACGGGAGCTCTCCTGAGAAGATACATGGACCTGTGTTGCCCAGTGGGAATTCAGCATCATGAATGTTTACACCTCTTTTCAAGGAAATGCCTGAAAAAAGACAAGGGAGAGCTCTTCACTGCTCCCCTCTCAGGCAAAATGCCCGCTGAATTCAATGGGATTTTTTCATGAGTAAATCAAGCAGGATTTGGCTCTGGAAGTACATAACAAGATTGAACAGACTTGGTTCACAGTAATGGCGTCCTATTGTGCTGTGGTATGGTAGAACATGCAGTGCTGGAGTGCATTCTGTCAGTGCCCCCGACTTCCAGAGGATATGGTAATATCACATTATTGTAAACTAGAAGAAAGGGATCTGGTAGAATTAGGACTGGAGATTATTGTAGGGTTTTTCAGTAGTACAAGAAAAGTGAAGAAATGTAGCCATTATGAATACAGGATATTAATAGCTTACATTTGCTCTGTGAACTGTCTAATTCCCAGAAAGTTGAGGCAGATGACATGTTCCACAGTGGTGCCTAGTGGCTCCATTCTAATTTACAGATACATTACCAAAAGTCTGACTAAAAAGGCCCAGCTTGCAAGTTGTTGATTGTCTCTCCTCCTTGATTTCACTGGCTCTACAAAGCTGTCATCTTGTGCTGGATTTAGGAAGTGAGGCATCTGAAACAGGCCTTTACAAAGCACTCTGAAGTCTTGGCTTAGGCAACAGGGTAAAGCTTGGTGTATTCCCTGGCTCAGCACTGCACATTCCCATCAGCAGACACTGGACACATCTATCGCAGAATGGTGCAGTCCAAGGGTGATCCAAGCTCAGGTGACACATAAATACTACATTCCTTGCAGCCTTCAACCTCCAAACCATTTCTGGAAGGGCACCAGAGCTGACATAGCTGCTGTGAACCACAGGTTATGTACGCTGTATGAAGGAGCCCTGCACATTCATAGAGCAGGCTGTGGTTTGCCTTGGGCCCATGCCAGGAAGATCAGGCCATGCTTTCTCCTGGGTATGGCTCAAACCTTCTGCTTGGTCAAAGGTTTTTGCCTGTGTGATAGAGTTAGAAGGTGGATATGAACAGCGGCTGGACCTTGAGTGAAAAATGTTTTCTCAGAATTTGGTTTAAACATGCCCAATTTGTACCTACAAGCACACAAGTCTTACTTGCTCATATAAGTTCTAGACTGAATCATTCAAAAATTTGAAGAAGGTGACACAGGCATAGGAGTTGCACCAGCCCTCAGAAAGCTGGAACTTGCCTGGAAGAAATATCTCTAAATGCTGTAGACTGGGGGAATCTATGTGATTTTTATGTTGTCCTGGTACAAACAAAAATCAATGATTGCCAGTTGATACAGCTGTTGCTGTTCTCTGCTCCAAAAGAATTCCATTTGTAAGTCCTTTGACACACACCGAGATTTTTTTTTCTGAAAAACACTCTGAAAAGTAGAGTTTATATGATGTATATGGGATGTGTACGTGTGTGTGAAAAGTGGAAAGTACCAAGTATGCAGTGAAAACCACAAGGGCCAAT